CAGCCTCGCCACTCGTTACTCTGTTTACCTCTAGATAATATCTGTCCTAAGATTTGTGAAGTTTGTTCACTCACCCATGGATATCTTTAAAGAAATGATCTAGAGGACGATCCACAATGCAAAATCTCCGATCTGGTGCAGGGTAGGTTCCAACGCTTTAAGGAATTTTGTTTTTCTTTTCAAAACAATATTGACCTCCCGTTCTCGCTTGCCCGCTATACACAGTGACGACCAGTTCACTGTTCTGTCGGTAGTCAGCAAATAAAGCCAAGGGAATCTCGACGCTGTCAGCTTTACATCCTTCAAAGCATATCCCGTATGGTACTCTAACCTTCCAATAGTAAACCACTATGTTGTGTTCCTTTGTGTGTTTATGCGCATGTGTGTATTTATTAATTCGTTAGTGATATGTGTATGACTGACGTTAAATAAACATATTGAACATGAATACAATATCGCAATAAAGAAACAATATCGACATACGTTTTTTTTTTTTTCTGGGTTCTTTCGAAAAAATAAATGTAGATGGATTCACCTGCCTGTAATATTTGTATCTTTCATTAATACGCTACAATAGCTAAAAAGAGGTAAGGGAAAGTGAGAGTGAAGGTGGCAGACAAAATGGACAGAAGAAAGACGGGTGAGAGAGGAGAGAGAGAGAGAGAGAGAGAAGAGAGAGAGATGAGAGAGGAGAGAGAGAGAGAGAGAGAGAGAGAGAGAGGAGAGAGAGAAGAGGAGGAGAGAGAGAGAGGAAAACAGATGAGAGAGGGCGTGGAGAGAAAAGAGGAAAATTGTCGCCTGCATTTGCATAAAGTTTCCCTAGCTCTCGCCCCTCATCTCAGTACACAGTGCGCAGTTTCCTCTCTCCACATTTTGTTCTGCAGCCTCGTGAATCACAGGCGAGAGATCGATAAGTACTCTCGAACACACTCTTTCCTCACCTCTTATCCTGTTTTGACATATCCTCTATTTTAACATGCCCCGACCAAGGAAAAGTAGTATTTTCCTTATAAATATTCTGGAGTACGTATTTATGATAATATATTGTTCTTTGGTTGGTTTTGCATAATAAAATCCTCTTCTATTTTGTTGCTTCCATTTTTTATAGATTTCTGTACTCCATTAATATTGTTTTATCATTGACTTTGCGGCTTATCTAAGACTTTTTCTGTCGCCTCATATTCCTATTTATTTTCTTTTTTATATGGAAAGATATTGGACTTAGGTCAAAGTGAAGATAATGATAAAGCGACACAAGAATACTATAATGATCATGTCACATGATAATAATGATAGTGGGCAGCGATAGTGTATACCACTGATAGTGATATCAATTTCTACTGGAGATAATGATGACGATTGATGATTATGCAAACATTTTGTACGAAAATTGAGTTTGGCGAAGTTTTCCCATTTTCACCAAATGCCAATAACAAGCTTCATTCAATAGTAATGCTCTGGGCAAGTAAGGTTGATGCGCATGCTTTTCCTAATACATATAGTTTTTTGGGGGGTGTTTTGAAGATAATTCGTCCCTCTCTTAGGGAAAGGGAAAAATGGCAACTCACCCAAAGCACAAACAAACGAACACGAAAATACGGAGAAATCCCAGCCCAGAGAATAGGCTTTGACATCCAGTGGGGAAAAGGGAATAAATTTTTTATATTTCTTCCCCCATCCATTCCCGTCCAACGGCCCCATCGTTCTCGCATCTCAGGGAGAAATGATCATAAAATTTGTGGATATCACCTAGGCACCCACTCCCCCTTTGTGTTCTCTCTTGCTCTTTCCAATTCCTTTTTTTCCTGCCTTCCGCCTCCTCCTCTTCCATTTTCTCTTTCTTTACATTTTCTCTAATTTTTTTATGTCACTTCGTCCCTCTTCTTCCAGACATTTGGTTCCCAATTACTTCTTGGCATTAACCCGTTTTTCACAAAATCATGTTTTTAGCCGCTTGCTCGTTACCAACAGTATTTCCCAATATGCCAATGGTACAAGTGGTACGTGGCTTGATTTTCCTGCGTTTTTTCCTGGGTCTTTTCTTGACAAGTTCAGTTGCTTTGCCGTCACCCCACCTTTTTTAAAGGCTACCGAAATCATGAAGGACCTACATTCATTGTTTAAAGAACATGCTGACTGAATATGTTTGTAGATTGTATTCTCCTTCATATTTATATATATATATATATATATATATGATTATATATATATCTCTAATATAACATATTCACATACATTTAAACCCTAATACTTAGAGGCATTCGCTCTGTCCCGCTGAATTCGAAATTACCACCAGTCGGGTAATTTGCCTTTATATTCGGCTGGATTTTCTCGGTCCAATGTTATCCAAACTTTTATGGCTTGTGACCCTTTGCTACGCTCTTCTAACGAATTTATATATATAGATATATATATTATATATATATATAATATATATATAATATATAATATTATATATATATATTATGCTTGGGTGTGTGTTTGTTTGTTTTTTTATTTG